TTACTCACATTTTTCTCAAACACTACTTAGATCTCTCGGAGAATGGATGCGGGGGTCCTCATGTTAGTAATTTTACTGGGATGCACCCAAACGCCAACAGGCTTTTCGATCCTGGGCTGTCTACCTTTAACAGCGACTTCTTTTTCGATATATGTGCGCCATCTCTTTGAAAATCGACCGAATGGCCATTTATTTTCTCCTGGAAATTATTAATATGGGGGGAATTTGCGTGGGTGAGAGCGGGGAGTGGGGGAGGGGGGAAGAAGGGGCAGAGTTAGTCTTAGTGCTTTTATAGAGCAAAAGGAGACAACTTTTCACCTTACTTCGGTGATTTTCGTTTTTTTTTTGTAGATGAAGATGAAGACATTCGGATGAATGCTGCTGGGAATGGTGGTGCAGCAGCAATTGAAACGATGAATCGGGCGATTGCAACGAAAATCGATGATTTACGAACATGCAGCTCACTCATTTGTACGTTTTTCCAGTTCTCTTTCTTATCAGTCCGGTTTCACGCCAAGAAAAACGAAAAAAAAAAAGTCATTCGTTGAACTTGCATTCGTTAAACTTTTTTATCAGCGCTGTTTTTTCCCAAAAAAAAAGAAGAAAAATCATTTATCAATTTTGGTTGCGCCGAAAACTTTTATCAAATGTATTTATGACGAAAAGTTCATTTTTTATCACATTTATCGACATTACTTTACTGCTAATTCGACATTTTTGCAAGAAAATCGCCTGTTTTTTTTGACTTACCTGCAGTTGCGGATCCCGAATTTTTTTAGGCGCAATTGAAAGTCAAAACCCCTTTTCGAGTACCATAAAAGGTTAGGCGGTAAGTAGGTGCGCCGCGAGTGGTCGATGAATCGAAGGAACCTCGTGCTAGGCTAGGTGATATAATAAAGTTAGAAATCTATCAAGACAAATGGTAATCAAAACTGTTTGAACGAAAGGCCGTATTTTTTACTGGAATAAAGCGCCTATTTGATAAAATTGTCCCAAATGTAAGCACACGGATTTCGTACAGCCGAGCAGCTTCCCTTTAGCGCTACAAGCCTCAAAAGGGATATTTTTTATCGCAGTTGCTGTAGAATGCTTTTCCTAATAGATTAAGAATTGCCCCAGTGGAAAAATTACTCCAATTTTACCATCGCAGATGAAATTTGCGATAGGAAACGGCCAGTGGAAATTCGGCGATATCTCACGGAGATGACCACTCAAACATCGCCTTTACATCTCCCATTATGTATGTTTCCTATCCAGTGGATCAGCACTGATTTCCAGTCGGACTTCTGCCGCCTTCTGGATTTGCATTTTTACGATATTTACTTGCTTCGGAAGGCAGAAAACACTGTAAAGTATCCCGGAGTAGTAGCACGTACCTACAGCAACCACTAGTTGGCAAAAACTGTCGTTGGCTTTCTCTGTCTTTCGAGGATTGCTTAGAAGCAAGCTGATAGCAAGCAAACTTCAAAATAATAGGGAGGTTGCCAAATCGGTGTACGTGTGGTCTTGCTTATTTTGGAGATCTATGTGGCACTACTTCCAGTGTTTTCATTAATTATCAAAATTTGACTGTATTCCTCTTCACGATGGTAGGCCAGCAATGCCATACAAACTGCATATGTTAACACATAGACAATTTCAGCCCTCTCCGTCCTCTTCCAGTCTTCTACCCAGAAATATCTATAGTTTATATCACTAAAATTTCTACAATATTTAAAATATCTCAGAAAAAAAGGTGGGGGGCAAGGGAAGGGCGGGGGAGGCA